TGCTGTGCACTACGACGCCAGTCATGGGTAGCATTAGTCTCATGATAAGTCATCAGCTATTCGTAGAACTACCCGGGTAGGAATGCATGAACTATCGATGCAGATTGATACCTCATGCACTCCAGTATAGGATTAATAAAGGGCGGACACTTTCGCGGGAGCAGTGGGGACGGTCCGATCAGCAGCTTACTTACCAACTAACTCATGGCCTAGTAGACCCAAAGCGCAGCTCGGCGGGCAGCAGCAAGAGTGTCGTACGGAGTTCTGGCATGTGGGGGAAGAGAAGGTTCCGCGGCTGGAAACGCCTACCCCACGCCTCCCACCCGTCCGCCCACTGAGCCACTTGGGCGTTTATATGAACCACCAACTCCCGCCCGGTCTACCGCAACCGGTTTGCCTCTCAGTTGAGAAGGGATATCATATGCACACGTTTTCGGCTAGGCCGGAACTGTCGTTCCAACAGGAAAGTTGCTGGGGAGTAGAAGCCCATAATTTCTTGGCTGGCTGCGAATTAGACTGTTGGGTGTAACTGTATGAATCAGGATTTCAATTTGACGAACTGGTAGGATGTCAAGGAGGAGATGGCACGGTCTTTACGAGGAAATTCTCGGGACCGCCATACGATAGAACTGTACCAGCGTTCAGTCCTTGCCTGGAGAGGGGAGCCCTTGCACTACATTCCGGGTTTCTCCGGGCGCATCACGAAGAGTAAACAGCCCTCCGCTGACTACCTGGAACAAATCCACCTCAACCTGCCTCAGGACGACCTGATGCTAGTGTTGCTCTTCAAGTCGGCTCGGGGTGTTCAGTTAGCGCTGTTCAGCGCGGGCTGTACATTGTTCACTACGCGTCAAGAAGCTGCAGTTGCATTAACGGGTATTGCGGGCAAGCACGAGGAGTTCCTGTGCCATGTCCAGCAGTTTGATGCCGTAGTGCAAAGCCGGATCAGTTATTAGAGGAGAACGGCAATGTTGTATCAGCGGCGTTGCAGGTAATATGCCAGTAAAGTGCCCCTCAACAGTGCATTGCACTGGCTACAGAACACAACGCAACCCCAGTATCTCCATGTTGGCGAGATAGTGTTTAGCCGCAGCATCCTCAGAAATGACCTACAGGAAACAAAAAACCAGGATGTGAAGCACACACACTAGCGGCCGTACTCACACAACCCACGGCAGTGCAGGTCACCTCAGAACAAGACGAGCGGGAAGGACTCCTTACAATCTTGACACCAGAGTCAACCGCAAAGCTACCATATATCCACCAAAGAGAGGCCAAGATGCCAGACTCAGAGGCGCCGCTCCCACAGTGGGGAGAAGACGTTTTGGCTCCAGCACCCGTCCCCATGCACCTAGGCCCAATTATGTCGAATTCGTGAGGCCGTCACCCTATGCGCCCGGAGTTGGGGGCTGCGGTGTAGAGCTCTACTGGTTTCCACAGCTGTACCTAGCTTCATAAAGATACGCTGTGCGCAGTGCCGCCACCTGTCAGAAGAGAAGCTCGTCGTAACTTGTAAACTTATTCTCGCAACGGGCTGGCCTTTACGCACCGACCGAGCGTCAGGCAACCCACACGGGTAAATGGACGATAACGTTTCTTAACGTTTCTTAGGTGACTCCTGCGTTGCTTGGGAACCCTAAAATTTACTGCTGGGCTAGTACTAGCAGGCTCTGTAGGATGCCAGACGGATCAGCTGCGCGAGTGCTTGGGCGGGGGGCGATGTGCCGGGGAGAACACTGNTGCCGGGGAGAACACTGGGAGAGAAGACTGGCATGCTGCACCAAGTCTCATGCCAGCCTCTCGTATACTCATAATAATACAGCTCTTTTTAAACAGTATCTAGTACACTCATTAAGTATTTACTCAGTACATATCAATATGCACTCATACACATTTTCACTGTTCAATCAACCCTCACTTTTGCCAGACGACCACGGCAATGTAGCCGCGATTGTAGTGGGTATTCACTACAACGAGGGCCGCAATGCTGCCGTGATTGTAGTGAGTATTCACAACAAGAATGGCTCCGAAAAGTCCGTGGAAAACTGCCTTAAGGTCTATCTTGGGTCTTTGCGAATACCCTTTGGGATCAAGTGTGCTCCAACTCCCAACTCCCTTCTAAGCTACGTTGGAGATCTACTTGCAACTCTTCTTGGGGTAGGGAGTTAGTGCATATCAGTATGATATCCTTTTGTAACTGAAGATCCTTGGTAATAGCTGACGACGGCTGTAAACTGCGATAGATCTCAAATACTTGAGGCATGAGCTTCTAGAAGGCAACTGGCTGCCTATCCACTCTTTAATCGGCCTGGAGCCGGCTACCCAAGGGCCTGAATCTGGGGAGAAAAGGTGGCTTGGCGCGAGCTGCAAAGCACCCGGCGACAAGTGGTGCTGCAACGTATTTCCGCATGCATGTACAACTGAGCGGTGTTACTGCATAAATCAATACTACATACAAACTACCTCTGTGACCATCAGTGGCCAATCGTCACGCAAGTTGGAATACACAGGCCAACTTCACACATGCTGCTCACGACTAGACGCGCCGTTGTAGCCGTAAAATCGAGGAGGGTCCGCAAATTTTCTTAAACGATTGATTTGCGTTGTTGGTCCCTCGAAGTTGATTGTAGCTGTCGTTCCGGTGGCAATAGCACACACTAGTCTCGTTTTCTCTGTCCTCTGCAGTGGGTAATAGGGAACTCGTGGATCTGAGTCTCCTCCAGTTGTTCCGTGGTGATATGACGCTGCTGCTGCTTTGCGTAGAAATCGATCGAGAATTTTTGTGAGTCCTTGAGCCGTTTTAAATGACCAATATTAATAGTATGGTGATATCTTCACGATGGAGGTACGCCAACGATATAGGCCAGCGCATTAACTCGAGAAAGAACATGAAATCCTCCTGGCTTCCTGCGCCCATAGTAGGCCAAACGGGACTGAGCTCACTAGAAGCACTGCTTCCCGTCCGCAGTTGCTCCCACGGTCATAATCCCTTGCTAAACCCGTATCCTAACCGCTTGCCAACCTCGTTGTCTGAGGGGGTTCGGGACTCTACTTGAACCTATCAGCGTAAGCTTCTCCGTTATGTTGTCGTTGGGGAGAGGAATTTGTTGGAGCTTTAACGACAACTCTTCTGAGCAGCTTCTGGTGAGGATGAGGTCCAGTTCTGGGGAGCCCGATAGCTCCACGATCCCAATATTCTCTTTGTTGATAACTGTATAGGCATTTCTCACATTCTGTAGACAACTGAGCTCTTATGCTAGTAGATTGTTTCGATCGTTCTATGTACGTACTACCACGCGCGAACTACTTTTCCGCTGCACTCTACGTTGCTTCCCTTACCAACAGTCGCCATAGAAACGCCACTGACAATGCTTTCAATTTTCTAAACTTTGTGTCTTCGCCTCGTCCTTTGCGGCGTGCCTGATATTTGCAGCACTTGCTCACTGCTTTTACTAGCAGGCTGTTTCACTGCATATTTCTCTTTAGGTTAAGACGCCCGCATCGCAAAGCGGGACCCAACTGAACAGGAAAACAATGAACGTTGTATACGAATGGTGACCACGCCATCGAGGGCGAATGCAGCAGTAAGGTAAAGATGAGGAGCAGTTGCAGCGAACCTACGCAACTGTGGGAGGTGTTACTCTGCCATAGCACGACGAAGCCAAAATCAAATAGAGTGAAGAGGCACATATAGAACGTGAACCGTAAAAGGCAGAATAAGAAGGACTAGAAGCACACTAAATCTTTATGGCATGCGCAGTATACAGTAACCCACGACCAAACCCAATCAATGGTTCGACGTCCCCACAAGTCATTGAGCACAGCGGTGGTAGACCGGCTATGCAAGCCCCATACATCCTCCCAACCTGAATAAAAATTACTCGGAACAACGCATTGTCGAAGCGAACTTATTTGCTGAAGACTTATTCCCACTGAAAGCACATAGATTGCCGGTGGTCTGGCGGCCGGTGTAGGCGGGTATTAACATCTCACATCGTCTATTCCCCTCCTCACGCCGCTGGTACCCATCACACTAAATTCAAATTAAGCTGCAAAATCTACTAGTACGGGAGACGCGCCATTTCTATAGGACTCTATTGCAACAGTTAATCCACAGTGGTCCGTGTAGCGTTACTGGTTGTCTGATGACCGATATCGCGAACTTCTGCCTCCAAAAGGGGAATTAGTGGCTTATAAAGTAGTACGTAATGATGCTCAGCACATAATATTCTCAATAGCATCGTCTAGAGAGCAGAGATGCAGCTGTTCACTCAGTCTGTTAGCGAGGGGTCTCGGGCAATCGACGTATCGCTGCATGGCCAGACATGCATAGTCTCACGTGATGCAGGGAACGGCGACGGAATGAATGATTTCAGCGAGACTGTTGAAAACAAATCGAAATATTAGTTCCATTTGGATTCTATTTGTTATCCCTTTTTATATTTGTTTACCTACCCGCTGTACCTTTTTTTCTGTCTGAGGAGCTGCCCCCTAATCCCTCTACCTACACCACTGCCATATTCTGTGGAAAATATTTAGTATGATGCTTTGCTTAAACTTAGACTCACTTTCACTCTGGACGGCCTTTTCAGGAACAGCAGAACAAATATAGGGCACTTAATGCCCTACAATTGAGCTTCCTTTCTGTAAGCGGTGAGGAAGACAGCGGTGCATTCGGCGCAATCGAGGAAGCTTACTGCTGCTACATGTTGTGTGGTTGATGATTTTCAGTGTAAATCTGTGAACAAATGTACGAGGAGCATAATTTTTTTCAGGAGAATGCAACTCCAAGCGCTGCGTCCGCCGTTGCCTCCCCGGAGTTGCCACCGGTGGAATCGACCTTTGCCCATTCGGCTAAGTTGAAAGGCAGAGCCAGTCGTTCCGGTTCGTGCTTACGTGCTGTTATGGCTGCTTTAGCATCCATCGCGGCAATTACGTTTCTCCTGTTTTGGTGTTCGCGTGTCTACAAGAGACGTGCAGTCCTGGGCCTCCGAAGCCGCATGCTAGCCACGGAAGACAGTGACGAGCCGTTTAGCGTCTGCGACCCACCTGGTGACGACGATGAGGAGCGACAGAGCCAGGGTGCTTATCCTCCCGAGCGGCAGCTGCCCTTCAAAAAAAGATATTTGTCAAGAGTGGGTGAAACCGGTAATGGTGGTGATGATCCCCAGCAGCAAGAGCAGCAGGAGCACCGTGACGAAGACGCTGCACCTCTTTTCGGCGTATCTCGAGCTCAGGGGTATTCAGAGGCAGAGCAGGTTGANGTGACGAAGACGCTGCACCTCTTTTCGGCGTATCTCGAGCTCAGGGGTATTCAGAGGCAGAGCAGGTTGACCCCTCGCAAATTCTGGTTCGCAGCCCACCGTCTCCGTCGAAAATGCGGCTGCAGACACAGCTTGATTCGGCCACAGGAGTAATGAATATCCCTCCAAACCAGGAGACTGCTGAGCGTGATACTCCAGCTGCAACCAGAAACACGCCACTGCAGGTCCGGCTGCTGCAGCGACAGTTGCGGCTCATGAAGCGGCAACTGCAGAGGGAGCGGTTGCACCATCAGCGGCAGCTGCTTCGCCTCCGCCGGAAGCATGCTCATAGGGAAAGATCTCGTCATCAGCTGCAGCAGCGCCTGTATATGGAGATGATGCGTCAGCATCAGCTGTGGCAGCAGCTTTGGAAACAGCCGCTGCTACAACAGCAGCAGCAACCCCGGTTCGGAGTGCTGCAGCAGCTGCTGCAAGAGCACCAGCTGCTGCATCAGTCCTCGCTTCAACAGGAAATGCAGCAGCACTTGGTTGGACAGCAAGAGCAGTTGCACGCAGTGCAACGGGAGTTGCAGCAGATCCTGTTTCAACCACAGTACTACCGGCAACTAACACGACCGCCCGTGCAGTATGCAGCGCCGCCGGGGGATCGTGAACAGCAGCAGAGAGAAGAGAGTACGGGTACGCAAGCGAAGCGCGGGATGCATCGCCATGTGTCGCAAGCTGCAGACCTTTCCTGGGAGCAGCAGCTGGTAGATGAATGGATTGATCCTGAGTCTACAACGTCTGGGACGCCGGAGCTCGGCATCTCTCAACAGGCGTTGCAGTTTTCTGCTCCTGCAACATCATCATATATCTCGACATCCGAGGTTTCGAGCATGGGGGGGATTACTGGATCGCTGCAGAGCTTCAAGGGTCCGGCCGCTTCTGGTTTGAACGTTGGTGGGAGAGCCGGCGGTGCTGTAGGAGCAGCTGNAGCTTCAAGGGTCCGGCCGCTTCTGGTTTGAACGTTGGTGGGAGAGCCGGCGGTGCTGTAGGAGCAGCTGCTGGATCGAGTTCGGTACTGGCTGAGCTGCTTGATCACCCTGATTATGTTCCCGATTCGTTGAGAAATCATCCGGTTATGCATCTGCCGCAGCGAGTAATGAACGTGGCGCCGCGTTCGTGCTTAGTTGACTTGGAGCGAGCCGTGGCAACTCAACAGGGTAGGCGTGACCTCGTAACTATGTTGTTGAAGGCCAATCACCTGCTGTCGCGTCAGGTTTTGTATTTTACTGACTTGAGGCACTTGGCGCGTATAGCAGAGGGAATGATAGAGCACGGAATGATCCATCAGTCTCAGGACCTGTCAGAGCAAAGGCCGTGGTTCGCAGTTGAGCGGCTGGGAATGCGTTTTCTCCTGATGGATTCTGTGGTCTCTGCCTTGATCGTTATCGGGCAGGAGGTCAATGCTGCTAGTTGGAAGCGCTTCACAGATACCATTGGCCACAGAGGTCCCCTGCCACCCCCACGAAGGCGAGTCACCCAATGGCGAAACACATTCACCAGCATTCTGGCTAAGGAGCTCAGCAGGGGAATACAAACACTCAAGACGGGAAGGAGGCTGGCTCCACAACACCTCCTGAAGATCCACAGGATGCTCTTCTGTTCGGCGCTTTCCCCCACCCGTTTTAAAAGGAAGGACTTCGATCCGTTTAGGGCAATTTGCACCGATGAGCGGTAGCATTTCTCACCAGAAACTCCGATTTTGCATGTACTTCTATGGAAAAGGAGGAAAGCTTAGGAATGTCCACATTTGTAGATAAAATAACTAGTTGTTCTGTGCACGCTCGTCTTCATTTCGCACCAGCTGCTATTACAGTGCCGACTAGTGAGTCGTTGACGAGCGGACGGATATAGTTATTAACCATTTGGGGCGGATGCCCGCACAATAAATTCAGGGTTCAAGGACACCCATTTGCAGGTGCTGTTCTTCGGCTAGAATGTGAACGAACCGCAACCGGTGCAAGCAACTAAAGTGAAATTAACCACAGTTGACAAGAGATGTAACAAATATTTGACTGCCTTTTGTCTCATTTAACCGAGTTGCGTTCGTTTTTGTTGGGGCCGGAGGCGATTCAGGCGCTCCGGGAGTAAAGGTCGTAGCGCAAGCGCAGCAGCGCTACTGCCAGGGAGTTTTGTGCGTTCAACTCGGCCTCTCAACGTCTGTGTGTGCACAGGCGTTGCCGCTTCTTTGTATTGTCTGGTAAACGCCCGTAATGCGAGTTTCAGTTGCAAATGCTACGCAATAGAGTAGCAGCAAATAAGAATGCTCAGCGAAACTTTGTCTTCGTGTCGTGATCCGTCTGAAGCATGGTGTGCCAGACACTGGCATCTGTGTATGTGCCAATATCTATGTACTTAACCCCGTGGGCTGATGCGCAGGTAAGAAAGCAAGCAGGGTGTCCGGCAAGGAGTGCAGGATCTTCTCCTGCAAAGCAAGCCTACAGGCAAATATTTGCAGTCCTTTTATTTGCTGCAGACAAAACGCCACAGTGAGCTCTCCACATTTCCTTGGCGCTTAGTAACAACCCTGTACGCAAGCAAATATGCATGCGGCGACCGTTGATAGACCACGCTTCAGACCCGCCTCAGACCCTGCTAAAGCTAGCCAGCTATGTAGCCATTATTCTATTTGCAGCATTCTCCATTTNGACCCGCCTCAGACCCTGCTAAAGCTAGCCAGCTATGTAGCCATTATTCTATTTGCAGCATTCTCCATTTCAACGTACAACAGCTTAGTGTTGCCGGCGCCACGAAGGTTGAAATCAATGTAATTATAGATGTTATGCCATTCTTGGAATATCACAAGCCGTGCAAGCACTCGAACTTTGCAGCACAACAGATGGGTAGAGGAAGGTGAGGAGAGCTACACCAGCGCCGATCACATATTGGCGGGCACTACCGGGATCCGTGGGATGAATTGAGCTGCCCCTGTCCACACAATCCAGGGTAAACTGCATCTGCTTTTGGAATTTCGGATCTATGCTATGCATGCGAGTGATGCCCACGGAATATGCCCGGAACCACTCGACAGCCGTGCTGCCAGCTATGAGAGAACCGATTGAGGCATGAGGCCAAGAAGGATCAAGTAAAGTTGCGCATAACAAATTTGAGATGCGGAAGACCAAATACGAAGGATTTGAGGAGGAATACGCTCAAAGTGAGTCTTTT